CCAATGTCAGACTCAGAGTCACTAAAACAATACTGTAATGCTGTAAAAGAGAATAAGATAAACATTTCAGATGAATGCCAAAGTACAGCGATGCTAAATGATATTTGTTAAACGCTTCTGTAAGAAACAGTATGGGACTTAAATGGGGAGACATACAGGACAAACTGGTTAATGTAGACCTTTTATGAAATGCTCTATGGTCATTAAACTCATTATAATCCAAACACCAGTGGAAGGCAGACACTCAGGAGGGGATTAGGATCAGAATTGCTAAACAGATTACAATGGTTTATATGATCAGTCATCCACAAGACTTTCTGGCAGATTTTACCAAAGCTGCTTAACAAGGGCTAGACCAAGAGCTGAAGAAATAACTCAGGCTGAACTGTTCCCAGGAACAGACACATTTGGAGAAGGACACTTAGGTAATGCACTCTGAAGAGACAGATGAGAACTAGGATATGAAAGGATAACACCCACGGTGAAATATGTTAAGAACAAACAAACAAACACACAAACAAAAGGGGGGAATTAGTTAATCCTAGATTTGGCAAATCTAGAACTATTTATTCCACAAATCTGACCATTCCTCATAATTCTGCCAATCTTCCCTCTACATTGTCCACACAACCCCTTAGACACCAGTGTTTCCCAAACTCATCTATTTGTACAACGCATTTAGGGCACCTGTTAAAAATGGATGTTTAGATTCTTTCCTTGAAGGTTCTCATTCCCAAAGTCTGAAGTGGGGCCCAGTGATATACGTTTTTAATAAATTCCCCAGATGACTCTTTTGAGCTGGAAAATTTGCAAAGCACTATTCTAGTTCAGGGGTCTTCAAACTAGTTTTCCTGTTAGAGCTCATGGAGGCTTTCCAACAGGTATGTGCTAGAACTGATAGTACCAAGAGACTCAGTTTCCACGTGGGTCTACTTTCTCCATCCTTAGTGCCTAGCATATAGCCTGGTACCAAAAACGGCCTTCAGAAACATTTGTTAAATGTTGCAATATCCATCTCTTCTACTCTTCCTAAAAAGAAGAGATCCGGAAAAGTATATAACAGTTTGTCAGAGTTTTTACTTATTTTCAACTGTCCTGTAAACAACTCATAAAACTACTTTAAAGCCATAATTCCAAATGAATCTGGGGTCCAAGGGAAAGAAAATCAGTAATTCCTACATGGCCTTGAAGTCCTTAAAAAAAGGAATATTTGCCAAATAGAGTAACTCCTCACATGATTTAGTTTAAATTTTTTTTTCTATTCTTATTTTATTTTATTTTATTGGGGAATTGGGGAAGGGGAACAGTGTTGGGGAATTGGGGAAGGGGAACAGCCAAGTTGTTTTTCAATCTCAGTTGTGGAGGGCACAGCTAGCTCAGCTCCAAGTCCAGTTGCCATCCGGCTGCCCATTGGCAGCTCGCAGCTGCTCAGCTCAAAGTGCTGTGTTCAATCTTAGTTGCCGCATGCTCTAACCACTGAACCATCCGACTGCCTCTTGGCAGCTCCTCAAGGTGCCGTGTTCAATCTTAGTTGTGGGTGGGCATAGCCCATCATCCCTAGCGGGAGTTGAACCCAGCATCCTTGTTAGGAGCACGTGCTCTCACCAGCTGAGCCATCCTGCCACCTGTTGGCAGCTCAGCAGCAGCTCAGCAGCAGCTCAGCTCGGGTGCAGCTCACTGGCCCACTTGGGAATCGAACTGGCAACCCTGCTGCTCAGAGTTTGCGCTCTTAACCAACTAAGCCACTCGGCTGGCCCTGATTTAGTTTTAAAACCTAAACACAGTGACTTAAATATTCTGCACCTTAACTTCATTATCTGTAAAATTGTTATTATTAGTATGTAACTCCTCAAGAGTTTTTATAAGGATTAAGTGAGATAATCCAATACAAAGTGCTTACAACATTGCCTGACAAATTCTAAATGCTCAGTAAATTTTAGCTGGTTTTATAGTTAGGGTACCAAAGTGATTTCATACAAAATGAGCTTGGAACCCAAGTATTCCCACATCTGTGGAAGACGTAACTAGATGAGACATTTCCAAAACAGACTTTCCTTCACTTCTTGGTGTGCGTAATATGAAATTTGAAAGTTCAAAGTAGGCACAAGGTGGGATTAAGATAAAGGTCCACTAAAGAGAAGGTGGTACACTGCAAACAGTATGCAGAAGCACCAACTCAAGAAAATCACTAAGTTCCACGATGTTACCCATGGCACCCTGGCAGCTCTAAGCCAATCATTGTGACAGTAGTCCCTTCCCACTCAGAACAGGGGAGGTTTCACTTTCATGAATCAGTAAACACATGAAAGAGAAACAAAGCACATTAAAGAGACAGAATTCCTGAGCGTCTATTACATGTTAAACCCCGTGTTATGAACATTACAGTGCAGATATGATTAGTGGTTTTCAAAGAGAGGTCTTCCAATCCTTAACGTATGTTTTCATCTCTCACATACGGTATGTTGTATACAAGATAATCCTTGTCTTGTTGCTCACAGGAGAGTAGCACTTTAAAACAAACAAGCAGGCAAACAAACAAACAAACAAAACTAAACTGCCAGGCTCAAGGATTTTATCACTGTTAACTAACTGTATCCCTCAGCTGTAGTCACTTTAGTTTGCACTGCTCAATATTGAATGGGCTCTTGTCCTACTCATATCACTATGCCAGGCTTTCCAATGGCACTTGGGCAGATCTGTGAGTTCCTACAACAACTGTGTAAGTGCACTGTCTACTATCATTTTCATATAGATATAGTGACAATCACAAATGGCAAAAATATATTTGTACAATACTTTATAATGAGCTTTCATATATATATTTCTTATTTCTCACAATAGGTATTACTGCATTTGGCATTATTTTCACCATTTTACTGATGATAAAAATTAAGGCTTAACTGTATGGATGTACTATATTTAACCAGATCTGTACTGATAAGTATTTTGGCTGTATTTAAAGGGGATGTTTTTGTAGGTTTCTTCTTGCTGTTTGCAACTACAAAACACTGCTACAATGCAAATTCTTGTATGTGATTTTTATATCTGCAATGTTCATGCTTATGAACATGTGCCTCCAACATCAACTCTTACAAGTGGAAGATCTGGGTCAACTAATCAGCTTTTAAATTTTAATACATATCTTCTAAATGCTGATTTAAAAAAAATTAAGGCTCAGAGACTTTTCACCTGAGGTATCATTAAAAATAAGGACAGGACCGAGACTCAAGTCTGTAGAGTCCCATATTTCATTCTAGTCTGCTACATAATTTTTCTATGGCTACAAAATGAAGCATTTCCACTGGCAAACTTACCAAGCAGCCAGCTATCTTTGTGCATTCCGGCTTCAAACTGACTACTAAGAGAAGACTGCTGCAGCACAGCATAGTCCTGTAGACTGCCTGGCCAGTTTGTCTCCACAGTCATTAGTGCCCCTCTGATGTCACACACCATCAGGCAATTTAAAGAGTGCAGACCTTTGCGGTTCACATAGGAGAGGTCTTCAGCATTTGGTGCCTTGATTGCCACATGGATACAGTCAACCACCCCTATGACCCCTGGTATCCCTGCCAATCCATAGAATTCATCCTTCAGAGCCTGCATGGAGGCTTCATCAGCTGGAAAGTGAATGAACTGTGAGGCTCTTTCCACAAGCGCTTCGGTGACATTGGCAACACATCGACTCATAGATGCCTGACTGATTCCAATAGCATCTCCCATCCGAGTCTGGAAGGAACCTGAGGTATAGAAGCCAAGTGCTGCAAGGATCTGTGTCTCTGGGCTAATAGCCCTGGATCTCTGAGTAGGTCTAGAAAGACTTGCCCCCAAGAGCTCCACCAAATAATAAATGAACTGTCGAGGAAAACCATACATGGACATCAAGTAGTCATCAGTCACATCATCCAGCTTAAAACGGTCCAAAGTCCGGTGACCTCGGCCATACAGCAAGAGATCACAGTCAAGCACTGTTATGGGTATAGCCATGGTCCATGTAAATGTGGACTCTCCTTCCCTCTGCTATTTTCTCTGAACTCTTTCCAGTGAAGATGTTGGTGCAAGGTCTTTAAAGAAGTGTCAGAATTCAACAGCCAACCATCAGTTAAATGACTCTGGCATTTATAATCTTCTCTCTGTAAAGGTTAAAAGAAAAAAAACAAAAACATTAGAAACATCCCAAAGACTTTCAAGTGATTCAAAGGCTACAATAGCTCCTTTTCTCAATTTTCCATTTTGTTCAAGCAAAAGGTGCTATACCTGTAATTCTGGATTTTTGTCCACTTACTCATGGCTGCTGCACAAGTCTTGTTTGGGTTTCAAGAATAAACTGGGAGTTGAATTTCGGTGGCTCATTTAACGCATGGCATTTGAACTGGGAAGCGTAAAAGACAAATAGAGGTGACGGCATAATTATTCACAAGGTAAAAGAGATCTTCTCCTAACTATAAAGGCCACGAAGCAGCTGACGTAAGTGGTAAATTAGCCAGGGCAGGGATTAGTCACGGAGGGTTTCATTACCCAATGCTCTCTAGTTCCACCTGATAGGTACTGGACGGACAGGGGGTGGGGGGGCTTAAACCAGTCTAACAGAGGAGGATGGGCAAAAACACCGCCCACGACACAGCCCGATGGATGCAGATTGTGTGCTCTAACAATCCCGAGTGAGGCTGAGGGATAGGAAGTAGAGAAGACCAGACAGGTTGGAAGGAAGGCGCGAAAGAAGAGGCTGGGAGAGGCAGGGTTGGGAGGCGACTCCACCGCTTTTAACAAGCGCCTTAAATACGGAATACGAAATACTCTAGAAGTCTGACAGCACGGGCCACTCAAAGTCATCTAAGGCCAGTCACCCACCTCTCGGCGCCTGCCAGGTGACCAGACGCACTCCCCACCCACCCAGCCGGGTCTGGCCCTCCTCCGGAACCAGCAGTAGCACACAAACCGCCACGGCTCTCAGCATAGGCCCCGCCCCCTCCGCGTCGGCGTCCGCCCCACGCCGCGTCCTCACTGAGGCTGCCGCAGCGACCTGCGGTTCGCCGGTGCACATTCCACACGCAGACCAAACGTTCTCGCTGTTTCAAAGACCTCCCTCTTTACACCTTTCTTTTTTTTTTTTTTAAGACGCTTTGAACAATTATCCAGAAAGACTTACATAGAAAGGAAATCAACTTTTATGGGAATCTCGAAGGGGAAAGAGATTAAATAGGACGTACATCCGCAGCGAAAGTGCGGCTGAGGTTAGACAGCTGTATTTCCCCCGTAGCCCTCTTCCTCCCCCCGCCTTCACCGAAGCGGATGAAAACAAACACTAACGATGGCGGCGCCGGGAAGCGACCGGCTGTTGGGGTTACGGCAGGAGTGATCGCTTGAGCTGTGCGGAGACCCCTGAAGAGCTCCGGTCGACGCGAGTGCGACAGCTCGCTCAGTCTTGAGAGCGAAACAGCCAGGGCCTGCGAGCCACGAGCCTTCTGCGGCGTGAGGTATCTGTCTGCGACCGGTGCTGTCACTGCAGCTCCGGAGCGCGGAACCCTCAGCCAGGAGGCGCAGCTGGCCGGCCCCAGGCCCCGGCCTTCGTAATGAGAGCCCCGAACCACTCTCTGTGTCGCAGCTTCGCAGGTACTAACTTTAGAGAGGATACCCTCCACCTCGCTCGGCGCCCCCGGGTGGGAGGCTATGGATCTGCGGCCTGTCGGGTCTCTCTTTGGGAAGCTGAAGCCGACCAGCCGCGGTTCAGCCCCATGAGCTTCCTTTGGGAAGTCGGGTTGGTGTAGGCCCCGCTGGGACTTGATTGTTCCCAGTCTTTACAAAGACCCCCCAGGCGCTTTCGTCTCCACTTTCTCAGTTCTTGGGTTCAGTCCTCAGGCTTTTTGGAATAACGTGTAGGTCCGTAACTCCGGGGTTGGGTACCAGTGTGAGTGAGGTAGGTTTTCACTCAATCAAGATTTGTTGAGTGCCAAATATGTACTCCGCGTGTAGGTGAGGGTGACTGTTGACTAGTGAAAAAAGGGACCCAAGGTTCACGACTATCTTCTTACTGGCAGTGGAACGACCTGTGGAAACCTGCGCTCCATTCTCATTAAATAAATCTCTGGGTAAGTGGCTCTGCACCTTCTGGGGTTCATCACTAACTCATCTCAGTTTTCACTTTCCCAGTCAATTAGTTCCCAGTTTGCTTGGTCAATTCAGCCTAGTATTTCACTCTCAGTGTTTCTTCCTCTTCTGGCCATCCCACCATCAGAGAGAGAGCCAAGAGGGAGAGGGAATATAAATAAATGAATATCAAAGGAATAAAGTCCCTAGTATCTCATTATGCTTAGTTTAAAACTCATCTCCTAAGGTGGTAGAATTTATTGAACACATTCAATGGAAGATGTGCAATCATAAGAAACAACAGACTCCCTGTACACTAAATTAACTCCGGGTTTTGTGTGTTGTTTTGTGAGTGTGCTTTTCATGTGTGGATAATGTGGCTCTAACTAAATTACAAGTTTTTTTGTTTTCGACTACATTTTTCAGCTGAGCAGAAGTCATAAATGCTTGTGGAATGGAATCCTGAGTTAACAATATTTTTAATACACAGTGGATGATGAATAAATGCTGAAGCAAGCGTCACATATACTGATCTGCATAGTAAGATGCATGTAGTTAATTCATGTGCTATTTTCAAATTGTACCCCTTGGGGTATAAAATTAAGAAGGCTATCGCAACTTTTGAGATTTACATTTCATAAAAATTGCAGGCCACTTCGTTTTTTCATCACTGTACTTACACTTAACAGTTTTTATTGTATATTTGTATTTTTCCCTGAAGAGTGGTTATTAAAATTGAAGCAAAACCTGTAGACCTTCAGCTACTAAATACTTCAAACTATATTGTTTTATTTAGGAATTGAATCAGCTGGGACCAGTGGAGTCCTACCATATAAGCACACTGGAATTGTACTGTATGGAGGTGGGGGCAATAAATCACCTTTCTTCATTTCCTGCCCTCTTCCACCTAGCTGTATTAGCTTATGACCTCCATGACTCAGAGCAGGGTGTCCATAGCCTAAATGCAAAAATAGCCTAAGACATTAACTTTTGATCTTCCAAAAACCTGTGTCCTACTATATAAGTGATTTTTCAAGGATAATTTTAACTATTCAGAAAATGCACCCACTGTAGAATTTATTGCACCCAATCAGTAAAGGTCCATTCCCAACACCCTGCAATTATATTTTGCTCAAGTGGGAGTAGAAGGTATTTATTTCAGAATCTTTATCTGGAGAGAAGTTATTTAATTTTAGTAATGCCTAGAAATACCTAAAACTTCATTTTTAAGTATTTCTTTTCCTTTTAAATTACTTTTTGCTTATCATAGAAGAGATGAAAATTACACGCATAACACTGTGCCGGTTAGATTCAGAGATGAAGCGTACACTTAAAAAATTCCTCACTGTCATGACTTTATTATTCAACTTAAGTTTTTTTGTTTGTTTTGTTTTGTTTTTGAATGGAAGAAAAGTATAGAGACTCACTGATTAAGAAATGCAGGCTGTTCAGCTGATATTTGAGCCTCCATATTGCTTAAGACTTTTGTGACTTGTACGTTGACTTGAGAGTCTTGAAGTATATATACTTTACCAAAAGTCTATTTTTGAACAAAGCTTACCTAAACTTTATGTGTGGGTGATTTGGAAGTAAGTTCCAACTTGGGGTGTAGAACTGAGTAAGATGAATTTCCAAAGGGCATAATTTCTTCATGCATTTTTTTAAGAGAGGAAAAGGGTGCATGGGGTTGCTGGTCCTTGTTTCCTCTTTGTCAAATTATGGAGACTAATGAAAACTGCAAGCAGTCCCTGATAGGATAAAGGCATGTAACCTGGAATAATGCAGAGGAGGTTATCTCATCCTCTTTCCTAGGGGGAATCAAGAAACTTTTCTTAAAGTTGGGTTTTAAATCTTAAAAGGATTTTAAATCTTTAAAGAGATGTAAAATTAGTTTTAAATCTTTGGAAGGATTTTAAATCCTTAAAGAGATTTAAGATTAAATTTAAATAGTTGTTTTTAAGTGTAGAGTAAATGTGGACTAGTTTATTAGTGAAATCCACTAAATGCCGATGTAGGTGGCACAGGAAATTTGCCTTGCCCTTGTTGTAGCCCCCATCTGCCCTTGGTTACAGAAGGGATACATTGCGAGTCACCACTACTTAGAAAAACAATTAACGTGCACAATTGACTGATCAATTGTATCTTCTTAGTAAAAGTAAAGGTAATAAAGTATTTATAGAAGTGACAACTTAGTATTATTGTTATTTTGGAAAATGCTGCTTTTTTTGGCTTTTGATTCATACAAATGTGAAAGAAATACAGAGTTAAAATCATTTTATATTCTTTCCAGTCTTAAGGTTACTGAACGTTCTGCAATTCTTCTCTATTACAAACAGCTATTAGATTATTAGGAGAGAGATTATGTTAAGAAATACTTATTGAGATTTAGATGTCCTGTTTTAAATATAAGCTTAAGGGTGTTTTTGCTCCTTAATCTATTTCTGCTGGAATTTTCAAGAAACCTATAGATAGTATTGGCCTTATTCTTTGGACTGGTTAATTAAGCATGGCTTTTATCTTTATTCCCACCTCCCATTTTCTTTGGTTTATTTTACTTTCTGGTTCCCTAAACTGAATACTTATTTAAATATCTTTAAATTACAAAGACATTTAAGGATATTAATTTTCCTCTGAATTCCCTTTTTGCGGTATCTCATTTGTTGTCAAATATTCTGCATTTCGTTAAGTTCTAGATAATTTGTAACTTTGGTTCTTATTTCAGTGTTTATAATAAAATCTTAATGTATATGTTGTTAACTTCTATTGTGTATTTCTAATTTATTGGATTATGGGAAATAATATCTTGGGGAAAAAATTTTATGGTCAAGAGCATGATCAATTTATAGTGTCCCTTGAACCTGAAAGAATGATGTGAAAGGTAGTGTTATATAACAAAGAGCTTTTTGAGCATCTCGTATGTGGCAAGTACTCTTTATAGAAACGATCTCATTTACTCCTCACCAATCCTATGAGGGTAGGTATCATTATTTATAAACATTTTGTAGTAAAGGAATATTAGGTACAGAAAGATTGAGTGACTTGCCCTATATGCCACAACATATATATTAGACTTGGTTTTATTATTCAGATTCTCTATATTTTTGTTTATATCTACGTGATATATGTAAATAGATATGTTGAATCTTCAGGTATAGTTTTGGTTTTATCAAACTTTCCTAGTATCTCTAGGAATTTTTGCTTCATGTATTTTATTGTCATATTGCTTATGTATAAAGGTTTATGGCCATTATATTTTCAGAGATTATCATTACTTGGTATCCCTTTTAATCTAATTTCATCACTTTGGCCTGGAATTCTGTTATAAATATTGCCACTTCTGCTTTCTTTCTTTTTTTCTATCTTTCCTGTTCCTCATTTTAAAAACTGAGTATATCTGCTTATTTCTTTATTTTCAAAACTTCCTTTGTAACTCTTTTAGGAAGGAAGATGATTTCAGTTGTTTAAACTTTCTATTATGTTTCTCTTTTGTCTACAAAGAACTTTCTAAATGGAAAAAAGGATTTTTATAATTTAATAACTGATGCCTGAAAGCGGAGAAATTACTGTTTTGTTGTTTACACTTGAACTTGTACTTAACTATTTTTTCTTGTTAACTGTTCCTAATTTACCATATTGAACTTTTTCAGCCCAAACCCAAAACATTAAAAAACTCTATATTAAAAATTGGAAAACATAGAAATTATTTTTGCAGCAATTGATATTAACTTCATATAAGGGCTGGAGGTATTATCTAGAACCATTTTTATATAATCTCTTGCCAAATTATTTAGTTGTTTATTTGAAATTATTTGCCCTTTCCTTCATTTTTTTGGCAGTGTCACCTTAATCCACTGTGGGAATAATCCCACATTAATTCAGTAATGGTGGGATTACTGAAATAGCTTCCAAGCTGGTCTCTCTGCTTCCAGTCCCTTGATTTCATCTCCCTCTCTATATATATTCAAATTGGTGTCCCTAAATCTTTAACCTGGCCAGACCATAATTATCCACTTTATTTATCTTTACCTCTTTACATGAAAACTCTCAGCTATATATTTCCTAATTTTGCTACTTTCCTATTCTTGCTTCTCTTCCTCTGGGACTCCAGTTACACATATATTAGACCTTTCCTCAGTGTCTCAGGTAATCTCATGTCTCATTTTATTCCTGTTGCCATGATATGATTAAATACCTTAAATAGTGCCCTTTCACTCTCAAAATTATCCCCAAAGTGTGTATTTACTTTATGTTTCTTGTACACTTGTCTCTGTTTTCCATCCATTCACTTCTCTGTACTTCATTCTGGATATATTTTCTTTTGGCCTATGTTCCCTTTCAATATTTCTGTCTTCTGTTGGCCTAATCTGTTAAAGACTCAACCATTGAGTTTCTTCAGTTAGTGTTTTTGTTTTTTAGTTCTAGAATTTCTGTTTGGTTCTTTTTATAGTTTCTAGTTCTCTGTCAAATTCTCAATTTTGTGTTTTATTTAATTGAACATATTAAGCATAGTAATTTTAAAATCTGTGTCTGATAACTCTATTACTATGTTTCTAATGTCTGCTGTATCTGTTGGATTTTGGTCATTTGGGTTTGTCTCTATGAATGCCTAGTTTATTTTACTGTGTGCCAGATATTGTATATGAAAAATTGTAGAGATAATTTGTGGGCTAGGATATTATTTTCTTCCAGGGTGAAATCATGTATGTTTCTGGCAGAGGCTAAGGGCAGCCCTTATCCCATAGAGAAATGTTTTTAAACTTTAATAATAAAAATTTTTTGCAAGATAGCTTAAAGTCATACAAATTACAACTATATTTAATTGTTTTCTGAGAGAAAGAAAAATAATCCACTGTTTTTATAAGTTAAAAAATAGCATATTTATCTGTGTTGTATATTATGTACTAAAAGGGAAAGGAGGAGCCGAGAGGGACTATGAAAAACAAAGAAATACTTAGAGAAAAAGAAAAAGACCCATGTGTAATGTCTGTTCTCTCTCTTTTAT